TCAGACTGCATCGACCTCAACTTCTCCTGGAGATATTCACACTCCGCAGCAACTCCTTTGCCCAGCTCGAGCTCTCGTCCTTCGCACGAAGTTGCTCCTCAAGCGCACTCTTGCTGCGAATAGCCTGCAATCACTCCTGGCCCCTCTTCTCCAACTCCTCGCCGAGAGTCCGATCGCAAGGGTTCGCCTTCAGCCGCTCATGCATCTCACGGCACTTGTCCCGATAGCGTTGATATTTCTCTAGCATCTTCAAGAAAATCTTGGCCCGAATGTTGGCCCTGCGAATACTCTCCACCTCCAGCATATACGTCTGAAAAATGTGAAGATGGGTTAGCACCCTGTGATCAAGAAAAACGAAAGAAAAGCAACAGGGATAATGTAACGTACTCTTAAGCCCATAGTGGCCACCTCATCCATCAAACCAGTATCAGGAACGTTCCAAAGGGCCATAGTCTTGGCCTCGGAACACAAGATGCCGAACTGCGGCACCAAATCCTCCGTATCCCTCAGAAGGTTGACATCCGAAGGAATCTCAAGAAAGCAGGCCGGACCTCCCGCTCGAACCACCTAATGGGTAATGCCCTCCTCAAACATCCTGATATCATCAGGGTCGAGGTCCGACTCAGACTCGTAGTCGTCGACCACGGCTCCCTTTCCTCTGTCAGCAGCTGAAGAGGAAGTATGACCGAGCACGGAGGACAAGGGTACGTCCGAAACCACAACGGCGGCCCCAGTAACCTAACCCTCCGTCGCGGTAGGATGCTGATCACCGACAATGGCTGGAATTTCTGATCGAGCAGAAGCAACGGCCGGCTCCATCCCTACAGGGGGAGCCATATCAACCCCCACTCCAGATCCCGTCGAAAGAGAGTCGTCCAGACGAATCACAGTTGGGGGCGCTGTCTCGAACTCTATTAGCCGCCTTTTGGAAGGCCCCCCTTCGCCTCAGTAAGCGGAGATTCACCCGTCAGGCGAGCAACACCAGTCGGAACTTTAGCCTGAGAAGCGGCCTCAGCAGGACTAACCATTGCCGCGGACTCAACTGAAGCAGCCCTCGACGAAGGTCAGGCAGTGGGTACTGCGATAGGGCGAGCAGATGAGGCTGGTTATCAGAAAGCCAATGGAGGAGCCCTCGCTCTCCGTACCCTCCCTGACATCAATGAGGAGCATGTGAGAAATTAAATACAAAGAAGGGAAGAAGAAAAGCGGCGAACGGACACGACATCATACCAGAAAGAGGCTTGCGCCCATACTTGTCATAGAAGGCCGCCCACATGCGGACCCCCGCCGTATGAGGAAGAATAGCGCTCACCCACTCACGGATACTTTCGACAGGTGGAGGAGGCAATCTCGCGGCTGCAAAAATTGGCAAAGATTTAGTATCACGATAAGAAATGATCGTGCATCCCTTCGACTAAAAATAAAACAACATACAAACTTACGCGCAAAGTTCCATTTCTCAAGGAACCCCGTTGGATCCGCCACGAGGTGCTCGGTACACACATAGAAGTAATTCTCATAGAAATGACGGTTAGCCCTGTCGTCCATCTTTACCACCAGGCTCTTCGACCCCCGAGGGCGCATGTGGATCATCGTACCATGAATATGCTGAGGGGCGAAGATGTTGAGCATGTGCCCCAAAGTGATCTCACGGCCGGCGAGTTCCGCAAACTTGAGCAACATCAAAAACAGTTTATACAGGTACGGCGAGAGTTGGGCAGGGCACACCTCATAAAAGCGATAGAACTCCACCACCAGGAGTGGGAGAGGAAGAGTGTACCCAATAAGGAAGGGGTACGCGTAGAACACGCAGTATCCGGGGCGATCAAAATGGACGATGTCGTCCCCTACCGCCGGCCGCATTTCGATATAACTGGGAATTCCCCACCGGGCTTTCAAATCTACAATATCTCCTCCTTCATCACTGAGGGGACAGGTTCCGGCTCCTCCCCAATGCGACCGCTGAAATCAGCCCATGCTCTTCCAGGGCGGGGCAAGATCTCGGCTACTGATGGAACCTTCTCATCCTCCACCAGTTCTGCCCCTCCGGTGGCCGGAGTATTGTTTTCCGGTGCCGGAATCGGGGCAGAGAGGTCAACGCGAGAAGAATTACCGGCCACTGTGTTAATTTAGCAAAGGAAAGAAGCGACGAAAGGAAAAGATGGAAGTTCTTCGGCTCACAGGGAGCAAATAAAAGCTTGAAATTATCAGGAAGAACGTATACTCGCAAGAATTCTTTCGGGCAAAAGGCAAGGGAATGTGCCAATCGAATGATGTATTCCTTCTATTTATACGAGACATAAATCTCCCAAGCGCGAAACCCAAGAGTCGCCAATCAAACTCGCTGGCACATGAAACGTTCAAACTCTATGAGAACGTGTGTCATAATGGCTGCAACCACGGCACGACGTTTCGGCACAAACAACGTTTCGGTTCCGAAACGGTCGCGACGGTCCAGAAATACCAAAAGGGTGTCGTCGTCTCTTCCGAATCCATGGAGCACAACCAAGGAGTGAGTAGTCAGATTTCTCTCGGGATGACAGCGGTCATAATTCGTCTGCCGAGCCAGTCAGGGGACGACCCCGACAGACGGAGGGACTAACTGTATTGGTCAAAATCTGACCACAACGGTCAGACCGACCAACGCCCTGTTCACAGATGGCATGACAACAAGGATCAACATGGGCTGTTCTATATCTTACCCTCATGACTTTCATCGAAGCGGTAAAGAATGACCTCCAGCGAGTAACCGAGGAGTGTGAGGCATAGAGAATCATCGGATAGAGCGTGTAGCCGGAGGTCCAGGGCTGTATATATAGGAGGATAAAAACCTCTCAGGGGGGGAGGCTTTTGTGGGGGGAGGGGGGGGAGAGAAAACATCTCTCCTATTCTCCATCTATCTCCTCTCTGTAACTTCGATAAATAGAAGGAAAAGGAGGCAATCCGGGGCGATTGATGTAATATGTAACATGTTCTACTCCACCGATTAATGAGAACGCTACTGGGAAGCTTCAATAAGATCGTTTCTCTTCACTTCTTTTTATGTATTATTCTTCTTTTAGTTCATTGATCTGGAATTCATTACGAATGACTAAGATTTACCCCATCATTTTCTTTGATTGATTTGTTCAAAAAGGTTGCAATATCTTTTGAGTCAAACAAAACAAAATACAAAAATAGATAGTACTCCCTCCGGTCCAATATAAGAGATTTTTTAGCTGTTTTCACACATTAAGAAATCCACCTTTTAACATTAATTAGCAATAAAATTGACCATATTAACGTTTACTATCTCTTCACATAAATACTCCTAACACATACTCCAACACTATTTACTCAAAGGGCAATGTAGGAAAGAAATAATTAATTCATTCTTGAAATCTGGAAAAATCACTTTTTTGGACGACAAAAAAGGGCAAAAAATCACTTATTTTGTTTTCCGGTGCCGGAATCGGGGCAGAGAGGTCAGCGAGAGAAGAATTACCGGCCATTGTGTTAATTTAGCAAAGGAAAGAAGCAACGAAAGGAAAAGATGGAAGTTCTTCGGCTCACAAGGAGCAAATAAAAGCTTGAAATTATCAGGAAGAACGTATACTCGCAAGAATTCTTTCGGGCAAAAGGCAAGGGAATGTGCCAATCGAATGATGTATTCCTTCTATTTATAAGAGACATAAATCTCCCAAGCGCGAAACCCAAGAGTCGCCAATCAAACTCGCTGGCACATGAAACGTTCAAACTCTATGAGAACGTGTGTCATAATGGCTGCAACCACGGCACGACGTTTCGGTACAAACAACGTTTCGGTTCCGAAACGGCCGCGACGGTCCAGAAATACCAAAAGGGTGTCGTCGTCTCTTCCGAATCCATGGAGCACAACCAAGGAGTGAGTAGTCAGATTTCTCTCGGGATGACAGCGGTCATAATTCGTCTGCCGAGCCAGTCAGGGGACGACCCCGACAGACGGAGGGACTAACTGTATTGGTCAAAATCTGACCACAACGGTCAGACCGACCAACGCCCTGTTCACAGATGGCATGACAACAAGGATCAACATGGGCTGTTCTATATCTTACCCTCATGACTTTCATCGAAACGGTAAAGAATGACCTCCAGCGAGTAACCGAGGAGTGTGAGGCATAGAGAATCATCGGATAGAGCGTGTATCCGGAGGTCCAGGACTGTATATATAGGAGGGTAAAAACCTCTCAAGGGGGGGGCTTTTTTCGGGGGGGGGGGGGAACATCTCTCCTATTCTCCATCAACCTCCTCTCTGTAACTTCGAAAAATAGAAGGATAAAAGAGGCAATCCGGGGTGATTGATGTAATATGTAACATGTTCTACTCCACCGATTAATGAGAACGCTACCGGGAAGCTTCAATAAGATCGTTTATCTTCACTTCTTTTTATGTATTATTCTTCTTTTAGTTCATTGATCTGGAATTCATTACGAATGACTAAGATTTACCCCATCATTTTCTTTGATTGATTTGTTCAAAAAGGTTGCAATATCTTTTGAGTCAAACAAAACATAATACAAAAATAGATAGTACTCCCTCCGGTCCAAAATAAGAGATTTTTTAGCTGTTTTCACACATTAAGAAATCCACCTTTTAACATTAATTAGCAATAAAATTGATCATATTAACATTTACTATCTCTTCACATAAATACTCCTAACACATACTCCAACACTATTTACTCAAAGGGCAATGTAGGAAAGAAATAATTAATTCATTCTTGAAATCTGGAAAAATCACTTATTTTGGACCACAAAAAAAGGACAAAAAAATCACTTATTTTGGACCGGAGGGAGTAATAAGTATCAATTTGGGAGACTTTCAACAACTACGGTCCTCAAGTCCCCAACTAAATATACTTTATTACGAGCATAATTACAAAATAGTGATACGAGTTACGCGCAATTCGGCATATGTGGTGTGCGTATGCGTGTGCGCACGCGCTTGTTGTTGTTCTAATATAGAAATGGTGCTGATTGCAGCATTTGCGTGGGTAAAGTGCAAGAGGGAAGAAGATAAAAACTGCACACACGTCTTCTTCGAAGAAGCGAAAATCAGAGGTCATCCAGGCACCGGATTCTTTGCAGATAATACTTATCTTCGGCTCGGTCTGGTAACGCGTCGGCATGATTTTGATATGCTCATTTCTCGATTGGAACAATTCATTTCTCAAGAAGATGAAAACGGTAAGCTATCTCTATAAATACTGATCGATTTTTATATCCTTCATTTAAATTTTCTTTTAAAATTTTGATATTAACTTTTTAAAAAAAAATATTTGGATGTCGAGTTCAACGAAACAATAGAATCCATTTTGAAAGACAATTTAGTTCTGCATAAGCAAATTGATTTCATCTAGAAAAACAGAAAAGCAAACAACTTTTATAAATAAAACAATAATAATATAATACCCCTCGTGGTCTCAACTACTTTGCTAATGTTTGTCATTGAAATTTAATAGTAGCATGTTTTTTCCACTTCTCTTTTTTTTTTTCTCTGTTCAGACTTAACTAACGTGTATTTCTAAAATTTTAGGTTATTGTATATCGCCATCAATCAACAACCAGTGATCAACTCTTTTAGGTATGCTTTTCTACTTCCTCTCCTTTTATATGTTTATTTGCATTATTATCACATCGATCCCACGTCTGACTATTGATTATTTCGGGTAAATTATTATATGCATTAAAATATTAAGTATTTGACAAGTGTTTTTTTAGATAAAATTTATTACATTAATTAATTTATTTAAACCCTCAACTTATTGTCTAACAAAGATAAGTACATGTATGTATATTCAGCTGGCTTAATCATCTATGCACTGCCATGGTTTTTTCTTAAAAAATAATCTTTTTTACTTCAATAAAAAATAAAAATAAAAACTTTTATCAAGACAGCATGAAAAATGCAACTTCTTCGATGGTAATTTAGTTTCTTGGAATTATTGCTCATTTAATACTGTTAGTTTTTCGTCTTATTTCCTTGGGTATGAGGTATGCTACGAATCAAAATCTCACTAAATCAATAGGTTACACCCATAAATTGATTGATAATATACTAAAGTAATACAGTAGTTGAGTTAAAGTTGATTTTAGATCCGTTGACAGTGTGGCTCTTATATATCCCGATCTGGATCTTTGAGCTATAATACTATTTAATCAATTAAAGAGAAGCTCAATTTGGATTCTGAAATGTGATTTAGTTAGTTAATTAATAAAACATTCAATGATTGTCAACTAATAGTTGTTACTACTATTATGTTAATATGTCATCCTTATACGTAAGGGGAATGCTATTGCTTTGCTTGTAGCAACTTGTCTTCTTTGCTTGACTTTTATGCAGACCCACTTCGCAATTAAAAAGTGATCCACTTCCAGGATTTTGGCGAGCAGAGTTATCCCGTGGAATACTCAAGGTCAGAGGCGAATCCAGGATTTAATAGATTGGGTGTTATTGTATTTAATGTGAACTTATCACTAGTCAAGGAGGTTGAAATAGGGTGTGCATCTGATCGGTTCGCTCAGTTTTGAATTAATTCGTTCGGTTTGATCAATTTTTCAGTTAATTCGATTCACTTTACAAAATTTTTTGGTCCATAAATACACACGTGATTACTAAACTAAAAATATTCGATCCTTTCAAGAAAAAAATAACATTAACTAAATCAAAAGAAAAATGATTAAAAGTATATTGAAATTTCAAACCTGCATATCAAGAAAAGGAAAGCAAGGAAAGCAGAAGCAAATATAATAACTAACAAAAAGGAACTGTATTGAGAGATAAGATACATAGATAAAATAAGAAATCAAGAGAAAGAGAAGAAAAGAAAAATCTGGGGTGCCACTATTCATTTATGTACAATTTTTACGTAAGATATCAGTAAAGTACCAGTACGTACATGAAATTCGACCAGAGCGATTAGGTGGCGCACCACCCTCACCTCTATATAAATCCGCCCTCCCGAGGTGCAAGCAAGCTGGGACAGACACAACTGTTATTTAAGAAAAAGTGATCCACTTCCAGAATGTTCAAGAAGTACATGATGATAGAAACTAAGGGTCCACCAAATAATATAGCAGTTCTCACATTAGATAAGCAGAAAGTAAAGAACACACAATATTTACGTGGAAAACTCCTTGCTCACGACATTAAAAATTACGACTTACCCCAGTAGGATTTCAACTCCAATAAACTGAGCAAACTTCAGAGTACAACCTATTGCAATCTAGAAATTAAATTCTAATCACGCACCTCTTACAATAATTCTATTGTAAGCTTTTTGTAATTAATAACTCTATTACAAAGTCACACTCTTGACTAACTCTAGTCAAACAACCAAAACAATAATAGCTAAATAATGTCCTACTAAATACTTCCAAAAGGTCGTGTAGGAATACAAGTAAAGAACAAAAGATAAAGATACAACAAACTTAAGGACACAAGACAATATTCAGTGTTGGGATCTGGTCCTTGGTTTGTAGCAGCTTTGTTCTTCAATGCACCTGGAGGGAAACAGAGGCGGCCGCACACTTGAGAAAATAAATGTTTAGGTTTTGCAAGTGTTAGGTCAAAACCTTGTATCCTGTTGTTTATATATGTGAGATCATGAGAGAAGATACAAGGGTATTTTCGGTCTCTAGCAAATTGCAACTGTGCTAGAGATCGAAAAATAACAAAATATATTCAAATATATATGTACATACATGATGATCAGCTGCATATAATACACAATAAATAGACCCACTGAATTCTACAATGTGTATATGGTTGAAAACTAAATAAAAGTTTAAACCAGTTCCAAATCCATTATCACAAGAAGAGAAGTGGGTGCATAATAAGTAATTAAAAATATCCATGGACAATTTGTATAGTCTAGTACCTTTAGCATTTGTATCAATAGTAATTTCTAAAAATAGTGGAGCAAGAAGAACAATAAGTGATTTAAATAAAAGAAAATTAGGAAATTTTGGATTACTTAACAGATCAAGGGATAATTTTTAAAAGTTTGCTGATGGTAGGGGTAAATTGGCCGGATAGTATAACGGCAGGAGTAAATTTGCCCGAATAATAATGGAGGTTAAATGTAAACAATATCCGAGAGTAGAGGGATATATTTGGCCCTTTTTCTTACTATTTAAGAAATTAAAGAGCAGCTCAATCTGGATTCTGGGATGTGAATGAATTAGTTAATTAACAAATCATTAAATGATTGTCGACTAATAGTTGTTACTAGTGTTTACCCTCAAAGGATAACAACTGAATTTATATGTAGTTTTAAGGATATGCGGATTAATTCAATACAAATAATTAATGGCGTTAGATTAAACAAATGAAAGACATAATAAATTGCCAAACCAATAATAAGGGTGATCCTGGATCGAGCTTATCCTTATGAAGAACTGATGAACAAAAGTAATAACAGAAAGAAAAGGAGTGTATCCCTTGATATGCATGTTACATGTGTCATGAATAATGGTCTTTCTCCTTTATATAGTAGAAAATTTTTACCCTAAGTACAGTTCTAAAAAAGGTAAAAAAAATTTGTTTCTCTAACTACTAATTTTCTGTCGATACGGGCCGAGATTAACGCCGTGATATCCGGTTGGGCACGGATATCACGGCCCTTTGCTAGTCGTATGCATCCGTTTGATGATGTTCTTCGAAGTTTTGAGACTCGGACCGGACCCGGAGAACGTGATTCTGATGCCTCCGAGGGCAGGTGCTTTGCTCGAACCCCGATACGAGGGGTTCCTCGCGCAGATTCCGATTCCTTACGATCACGTCTCTGCTCCATTTGTCTTACCGGGAAACGGAGGTATTCAACGGGCTCGGTTTTAACTGTATACAGATAGTCCCCTCGTTCCTTAGAGTGTAGGTTTACCGAAACGATGAGAAACGACAGATGCTTTTCGATTCCTTCTTTAATATGCCGTAAGAGAAACGACAAAGAAGCCGAAATGTCCCGTCAGTCGTGTCATTCTAACTCGAACACGTGTCAGCCATTGGCATGTTACCTCTGAATGCGAAGCGACACGAAATCTCTATAAAAACTTCCATCCTTCGTTCATTTTTCACCTTTTGACCAAGTTTCTACCTTCTAGTTTTCAAGCTATTACTACCCTTCCTCAAACTTTCATATCTGTACTCTGTCCTTCAAGATTTCCCAGTGATTTCCAAGTTTCTACCTAAAAATTTTTTAAATCTTCACCCTGTGTTCTTCATCTTCAATCCTGTTTTTCCCACACTCTAAATTCTTTCCTCAAATTTTCAAAGACAATGGCCAAAACATTGAAAATTGTCCCCAACAAGTTGCCTCTTCGTCTTCTCAACATGCCGTTGGCACTGAAGCGGTTAACCCTGGAGTGGTCGCCCTCGAAACAACTTCCCCCATTGTAGTCATTAACGAACCGGCCCCCTATCCTCTCCTGACAGCGTTTATTCCTGGGGGCTGCTCAATTGCAGATAACTTTAAAGTCGAGAAACCTTCGCGCAAACAGAATCGAGGTGAAGGAATATCAAGGTATATATGTTCTATGACTGAAGACGTTCTTCCCATAGTTCGAAAAGACTTCAACTGGGAGAGTAAGGATGTAGTAGTCCCCTGGCCCGAGGATGCCGTTACTACCTACGTGGAAGGGTACTTAAGTATTTATACTTGCCCCTTCACACTAGGTCCAGTGGACCCTGTTGTTGTGAAGTTTTGCAAGAGGTACGAGGTGTGCCTCGGGCAACTTCATCCATCATTGTGGAGGATCGTGACCCTCCTCCGGTACTTCGTGAACAAGATCGCATCTTGTCAGTTCACGATCGACCACATGCTCCGATTATATAGTCCCCGAATGTTCCGAGAGGGGCTGATCAAGCTTACCCGTAGGCGAGCAAGGCCTCCTTCTCGAGCATCGATGAAGACCGGGACCGGGGCTGGCAAGGACGCTCTGTCCGAGTGAAGATCGAGGATTTGACCCCCCTCCCCCGAAATACATGCTATTCCCTCGAGAAGTGGAATGCGTCTCGTAAGTGTTATCTCTCTTTAAATGCCAAAATTATTTTTCTTCAATTTCTCCCTTCTCATTTATGTTTGTGATTGTACAGCTGTCGCCTGGGTTCCGAATGCGGTTCCCCGGCTAAATGAGTGGATTGAAGACATATGTACTCAGATGTCGTCCTTTGGGCACAGATGGAGATGCAAGATACTTGTGATGCATCACAATGAATTCCAGTATTAAAAGCACAAGTTCCTATTTTGGTTCATGCTAGAGAGGTCTATACCTTAAATATTTTCGTAAATTTCAAGATGAATATATCAAATCTTTATCAATCAAAGTGAATGTTGGATGTGAGAAGAACACTTTGTCCACCATTTACAAGGTTAGTAAGCATGTGCATACTCAAGAGTATATTGTTACAGTGATAGAGGTAGGCCATATATCTTGTACTTGCTTGAACTTTGAGTCTATGGGTATACTTTATTGCCATGCAATAAGAGTCCTCGATGTACTGAAAGGAGTTAGTAGAATTCCATCTGAGCATATTTTGGAAAGATGGATAAAAAAAATGCAAAGGGCGTAAATATTAAAGAAGTTGATGAGCAAGAAATAGAGATCAAGGATCCGAAGTTGATTACTATGAATCGTTATAGAGTTCTTTGTCCTATATTTGTTAGAATGGTAGCAAAAGCTTCTGAAACAAATGACACCTATAAAGTAGTAGAACGTGCAAATGAGCTAAGTTCAAAATTGAAGCAAAATCACAGAGGCAACAACTCCATCTCTTTATACTAGTGGTTCGGCAAGAGATTTACCAGAAGAAAATAATAACATAAATATCCTTGCACGAGCCAAAAATATAAAAAATAAATATGGGAAACACCATAAAAAGAGGATCAAAACTTCCCTCGAGGTGAACACAAATCGCAAGAAAGCTCGAGGAAACAAGTCAAGTTCCGCTAATCAGGATGGACCGAGAGTCGATGATAAAGCTATATCTGATAATGAAAATGTTTCAATCGGGTATATCACATTTTATTTTTCAACTACTAGAGTATCTCATATATATCATTTCTTATAATATTTAAGCAATTACACTAATGTTTTTATTAATTGGTAGGATCCAATATCAAAGGGAAATATTTTTGAGAATTCTGATTTAAGTGTCTCTCAGACTATGGCTTGTGCTAGCTTATCCCACAGTTTAGAGTTTTAGCTTTACTCAAATGCTGACGGTACTATTAATAATTTATTTTAATTTAAGTTAAACTTATAATTTCGCTTTCAATTAACTTCATTATTTATATTTGTGCGGGAACCTTTTAGTTTTAATACTTTTGCACATGCACAAAAGTCTTATCACTTTTTCATGATCAGATACCTATTAGATTTTTAATGTAAAAATCAGCTATCAATATTTCAAAATTGTTTACGTCTTGCAGGAAAACATTTTCGAGAGTCGAGGATCATAAAAGTTTCAAGATAACAATACATAATGATCTATGCCATTTTTTATTTTATGTTGACCTTTTTTTGGATATTCGATATACCGATATTTTATAAATGAAATTAAGTGAAGTATTGCTTTTAGTAAACTTGATTGGACGTATAGAGAATCTTTATCTTATTTTCCCACATACAGTTTTCGTAAATATTCTGTAGCATCAGTACAAGTCATTGTGACCTACGCTCATTTGAAACTTTGGCAATCTTGTAAGTATTTCATGAAGTTGGATTAGATACATCTTCGATGCCAGCTCCATCCATACACAGCAACTCCAGCTCCAAAATTTGTATGCAAAGTGCAGAAGTGTAGTGAGTACAACTGATCCCATGTACCCAATAAGTATATTATCTAACCTCGGTGCAGTAGTGACGAGACTATTTAGTTAAAAGATATTCACTGATATAACCTGTGCAGTAGACTAGCAATAACAATAATACTAAAATATAACAAAGAATAGTACAAGAACAAATATGCCACGCAGTAAAAGAATTAGTAGAAGAAATTACAGTCAATATTTCGCAATATCACAACCAATCATTTCCTTATCACGATGACCATCGAACCTAAGGTAGTAAATCCAGAACTTTCATAGCGTGGAAAGTGTACTCAAAATCAAATCAAATAGCACGGCAACACCCTTCGTGCATTTATCTCATTTTCACCAAATATACGTATAACAGTACCAACCAGGTGAAAGAAATGCCAATAACCATAACGACAAAGTGGGAATTACACAAGTAGCAATAACGAACAAGGCAGTACATATGGACAATAATAACAAACTAGGTGGGAAGCATAGAAGTAATTATAGAAATTAAGATGGAAGAACATAAATTTCACTTACTAACATGGTAGAAGTCTTAGATGTAGATATAACAAACAAAAAGCAAAGCATGATCTTTATAAGCTAAACAAATAGAAAGCATGGATAACTAACATGTTAGAAGGCTTATATGAAAAGTGCAACAATGTGTAGATACGGCAATAAATTTAAAAAGCATGATATTTACAAGTTAAACAGATAGAAGGCATGGATAATACGGTAACAATTGATGTAGAGGACAAAGGAAGAACAACAACGACAAGTCACATAGAAAACATAGGTGCAACAGTAACAACTCAAGATAAAGGCATGAATGTATACACAAGGAAAAGATATCACAATATAATGCATGTCTCTCGTCCTCGCCTACACAGAAACACCCTTCGTGCTATGAACACATGAGAATATAAAAATAATGGCATGGCATCACCCTTCATGATTTTTTCTCTCATCCTCGCATGATAATGTAAATGAAAGGGCACGGCATCACCCTTCGTGCTTAACTCACATGGCACGACATCACCCTTCGTGCTTTACACTCTTTCTCTCATGGTAATTGTATATAAAATGGCACGGTTTCACCCTTCGTACTTAACAGTCTTCCTCACCAAACACATGTATATTGATAACAAGCAAGGTAGGAAGTATGAATAAAATCAAGGAGAGTGATTATGAGAACATTCCAAATGAACATAAATCACAGCTTTCAAGCCAATAACAATTCAACAAACCTCAAGAATCTTATTGTTCAAGTATCTCAACCAATCTCAAAAAGATGATCTTCAACTAAAGTATAGAATCCAATTTTTCAAAAATAACGGTCGTAGCGATGTATTTGTGAGTAAGTATAATGATGACTGAATTTAGAACATCAATAATTTCACAAAAAGTCCGTCGAATTTTAATCAAGTTATAATAATCTAAATCATGATTTTTAGCATTTAACTTCATATTCATAGTAATCTAGAAGTCAAGTAAAATGCAAAACAAGAAGGTAACTTAATCCTACAAGGCACAAATAATCGTATAATCTACCCCCAAGCATGATTAACCCTAGCACATGCATTCGTCGCCTCATATATGCATCACCCCCAAGATAGCCTTTTGAATCACCCAATTTGGTCTTAAAATGAGGGAGATATGATGTTTTAAAGTTTTAAAGGAAGACAAAAAGTTTAAGGGATAAAAATGACATTTTAGTAATTATTTTACACCAAAAAATCAGCAACAAAAGGATTTTCGTTTTAGCACCCAAAACTCATTGGGAACCTTCTGGACACAAACCATATATGCATTTCAATCATAAAACACGGTACGAACCTTCTCGCATACTCAAAACACCGAAAAGAAGTCATCTTGACCCGATATTGACCATAGTCAAACTCTAAATCCTTAACTAATTTCTCAACCGATGATGCAAAACACATCCGAACCTTTCAAGATCCCATCCAATCAAACCAACAAGTACAAAATGGTGTGTCGATTAGTGGAAAACAAAATTTGTTGCTAAAATAATCTCTCTTTTTTTCTTGTTTTTAAGGTACTACTATCTCTTTAGAATGAGTCAACTGGTAACCGAAACACATGCAAGTTTAGACATAACATAGTCTTTCTCCACGTCTAGACATAATACTTCAAGTTGCCTAGCCACAAAACAAAAATAGTTATAGTTCCGTAATGTTCAGTGTATTTCCTCATCCCCATTTTGTATGGGTCTAATTCTCATCCCCTTTTCTTAGTTTTCGGCTGCAAATTCCTTACTATAGGTAGCATTTGCTTTGTAATTAGTTAGTGTTGAGTTAGTTAATACAATCAGTTGGTTTTGTATATTATCTGGGTTGTTTCATTGGTGTCCAAAGGTCTAATGGGGGACCAAAAGTACTCAAGGCTTTCGCTGATTCCATTCAATAAATGAAGGATTGCCTTTCTAACGATCGCGCTGAATTTCGTTCATGTTGTGGGGAAAAAGGCTACGACCTCTTTTTAACCCGAAGACGCTACCATGGTCGCCAAATTATGGCGGTTTTGAGGCGAGAATCTGGAGGCTTGGATATTCCAAGCGGAGCGTTAAGCTTACCATAGCGGTGAAGAATTCGAATGGTACTGGTGGTTATTTCGTAACAAGCAATTAATTGATTGGCCGCATTTTGCTGATAAGGTGAAAATTCGATTAAACAGAAAGGGCTCGAGTCGGTTAAAGGGAGATTAGCGAAACTCCGGCAGGTTACCTCTGTGGCTCAGTACCAAAGTCATTTTGAAGCTATTTCGTGGTGCTTCAGTAAGTCAATGTAGTTTCTCCATGCTTTGCATATGTTCATCCACAATGGAGCATATTACCAACTCACCTTTGCCGCAAAGCTACGATGAGCAATCTGAATGCATTAGCAAAACAGGTGCGCGCAAGGTGTTCGATGAATCGTCTGATAGGTCCAAAATGCAAATACTCTTGGTACAACTACTGAGGCAGATTCTATTGATCTGGCTTATCCTGTCTCTGTGAAGGCTGATGTGTGTGTATGTGCTTGTTGTTCTAATATGGAAATGGTGTCGGTTGCGGCATTTGCATGCGTGAAGTGTAAGAGGGAAGAAGATAAAAACTGCACACAAGTCTTGTTCCAAGAAGCAAAAATCATAGGTCATCCGGGCAGCGGATTCTTTGCAGAAAACAATTATGTTCGGCTCGGCCTAGTGACGCGTGAGCATGACTTTGATATGTTGATTCCTTGTTTGGAACAATTGATTTCTCAAGAAGATGAAAATGGTACTACACAATCCTTATTCTTTTCTAAATTTCGTTTCCTTAATTTTCCTTTGTTCGTGGTTTTCGTATTTACATGTTCTAGCTTATACAGGCGTATGCACTATATAATCAGCGGATTGAACTACACTCAGCATTTTTTACAACATAAATATTGAATTCATCATAACAGTTCAACTCAGTGCCATGGCAAATAAACATAATATATATGAGGTGTCCAAGACTCGAAAGGCAGAGTTGCAAGAACTGCTTCACTCTACGCTGCAAGCTAAAGATAGGTCTTGACAGCAATCTCTCTATCTTCTTTTCATTTGCTGTGTTATATGAAACATACATTTGAAAGAATTTAGCAAACCCTTGATTGATTATAATCAACAGTTATCTTATATCGTTCTTCAGGTTGCAACTTACAAGCCTTTTTTTATTGGATTGCTACTTACAAGTCTTTCTATTATATTTCCCTGGTAATCAGGAATCTTTCGTTTTAAAGCTTGTAAATGTTTGCTAATCCAGTCTTTTAACACTTTTGCAGTAGGTTTCTCTCAATGTTACTGTTGATTTTGTACTACTACTTGGTACATTGTTGTTTCTCACTTGATAGACTTGTAAACTTATGCCATGAGACTGCAGGAAAATCTTAGGCCTAGCGCTGGCAAAATGGATTTTTTCCTGATCACCCGTCCAACCCGCCCAGCATTACACTGTTTTTTCCCCTGAAAATTACACGGGTTGGGTGAGCTAAGCCCATTTAACCCGCACTAAAAGTCTTAACTTCTTCTCCTCATATATGTCTGCACTAAACTCCTCAAAACAATAAAATTATTATAGATAACAAGTGCCATGTTTTATTTGTGACAAATACAAATCCTTACCGTGTTCATGAAAGACTTAGTTAGGATGATTTTGATTCACTAAAATAATCCACAAATGGTTGTCTTTTTGCTGCATAGTGAATGAAGCTACAAGCAGAGAAATTGGAAGCTTGGCATTCAATTCGTGTTGTCCCATTTCTTGTAGCCAGGAAACCATTTTGGACACATGGGACTGAAGTAGCTGGACACAACCCCAGAATTCAATAGCTCAACAAGGGGTGCATATTTCACACAAAGGGGTGTCTTGTATTGGTTCATGGAAGCACCTAAGCTAATGCGATAGTCCATGAGCTTTTCAAAAGTTCCACTTTGCACCACTCTGATTTCTAGAGGCCCGATGGATTTATCAGATGCACGGCCCTGGCGGTAGAGGACGTTTAGAGATTCTTCAATTGTGAGGCAACAATCTTCAAAGATTGAAGGAGGAATTGGGGTAGAGCCTTTCACACTCAGCTCCCAGAATAGGACATAGTGGCCCGGAATGGTGGTAATGTCGACATAGCTGGTGTACTCGGTTACATGTGCATCAAATGGCATCAGATTGTCCACAGCATTTTTAACTGCATTTTGTAGCTCAACTTCATTAGACAACTCATCATCAACGCACAAGATCACATTTTCCCGGCACAGGAAGTTGAATTGAGGGGCGTTGTTCTTGTATCCAGCAACCCGAAGCACATCACCGACTTTGTATCTATAAAGTCCTGATATGGCACAAATTCAAGTAAAGTTAAAGCATTAGCAGACAGAATGTTTGACAGATAAATTAAAAGCATAAACAAAAGAAAAAAAAAGAATGTGTCAAGAGCTTTTTTATTTGGCATTTGAAAGATACCAGAATATGTGGTAACGACAAGCTCATACGCCTGGCCAATCTTGACATCAGCCAAATTGACCAATTGTTGTCCTTCTTTCTCATTAAGTGACTTGGGCATGGAGATAGAATCAATGACTCCACTATTTCCGTGATATGGTAAGAACTCAAAATAGCACATGGTGGGAATAAGGGTGTAAGAGACTTCAGTGGGCTTACAGAAAGGGTTCAAGTTGATTCCAGAGGTACATTCTGAGGCAGCATATCTGGTACTGACAAGAGGGAGGCTATTGCTGTAAAAATCTAGGGTTGGTACATATTGTGACATGGTTCCAGTCACAATAGCATCCACATACTTGGTATTAGGCCATAGCCTAGTGATGATCCCTTGCTATGAATCTTTACTGCATTCAGCTTCAATGAAATCAGCTAATTTTGGGTCAGGTTTGAGGATTTCCATCACTGCCTCTCTCACTGAAGGATCAGTTATTTGGGTGTTAAGGGTTCCAGTTCGGATATCGTTACAAAGTAGAGACCAGTGCTTCTCCAAGAATCGGATGGCACGAATGATGCCGATTGCGAACAGCGAGCCAACTCGGAGAACTTGTTGGTTTTGTCTGAGGCCACAAAGCATTTGGGAGTACATGCTTTGGTAAGAGTCTGAGCAAAGAATAGTTGCAGTTGGACTAGTGTGGTTAAAGTGGGGATGATGAAGACGACTGTAGTTGAAATAAGGACTCTTGTAATTACTAGTTGAAACAAAGCGAGCTGGTAATCCTCCTGGGGTCTTCTGTTCAGAACATATGAACATGAAATACATTCCTTTGCCCTTTCCGAAATCTGGAGCCACTTGGCTCATCACAGACATCAGAAGTTTCTGAAACAGTTCTAATCTCCTCCCAACCTCTCCCTCTGTTGTTGGTATCAATTTGCTCTCTCCTCCAGACGTGCCAGAACTGCATGCAGTACATCAAAGTTTGCCCCTTTAGCAAATATTATTTATTGTTGAGGACATAATTAAGTAAATAAAAGTATGCTCTCTCTAACAGCTTAAACTTTTAGATGAGATGGTCACATACTTCAATATATACAACCCAAAATGTGAGATAAATTTTTTACTTAATTTCTATTCAGAAAAAAGAAAAAAAAGGGAGAAGAACCTTGCCAAAAATTCAGAGATGGGCTGGGAGCAGAGTATAGGAGATTTATCACCATAGGCTATACGGTTGATTTCAGGCAGAATATCTTCATAGGTGATGATAGGTACGACTCTCTTGAATGTCTCTCTATCAGTGCGGCCATTGAGATTATGGCGCTGCAAGTACTCAACATGGGCATTCTGGGAGAGGATTTCAGCAAGAACTCTACATTGGACCTCTTCAACTTTGCTAGTCACCTCTTCAATGAACTCAAGATTCTTCTTGTATTCCTCTGTGATTGTAGCCTTCTTGGGGTTCTTTGGTGCCTCAGGTACGCTTCTTTCCATATCTATATAAGACTTGTAATTTATTCCAAAATGGGAGGGAACTCACTAGCTGAGTCGAGATCTTTTACAAGGTGCAGAAAATGAATACAGCTTTTTATTAAGGAAGTATTGGGTTTTACTTGTTAAAAAATATATCACTTGTCTCTCTCCTTCTTTTGTTAATTTGGCTAAGGTAGTTCAAACTTCAAATAGGAAGAAGCTTCGGGAACATTGAAATCGTGAGAAATATGGATTTTATATTCGTTGACATTGTGGTTGCTTATATCCAGATCTAGATCTGGATCATTGAGCTAATATTTAATCAATTACGGAGCAACTCAGTTTGGATTCTGAAATGTGAATTCATTAGTTAATTAATAAAACATTAAATGATAGAAGACTAATATTAGATTATGTTGAAGTGTGATCCTTATCTGTTTAGAGGAAGAGCCAGGGATGAAAAAATGTGAAGAAATCTGTTCATTCATTTCGATCAGTAACAGAACTCAAAGCAAAAGGGGATTTTCTTTAGGCCAAGCTCTACTGATTCTCTGAAGGACATTAAATTCCAATCTTCTTACTTCTTTGGGCAGCTTGAGCTCCCTACTTCATTTGTTTCCATTTATTCGTATCTAAATCTAATAGCTTATGAATTGTGTCCAAACAATGTGACAGACGGAGCTGTTTCGACAGGAAGTTTCAGATAACTAATCAACAGTTATTAAATTATCTGTAATTATCTCTTGTGGAACCTGGTACCGTAAGTACTTTACACTGTCGATGTAAAAAAAAGTTGCTAACTCTATAGATGAATATTTTGAGTACTTGAACAAAAGACCATAAAGAGCGCCATTCAAAAGAAATGTTTAAGCCAGTAATTGATATGGTATCTCCCCTAATTCACAAGACAATTACAAGAATTCCAGTTTTTGTTGGAACTGGTAGCAAAGCCTGTACAGTTCATTCTTCTACAATTCAACGTTGAGAGTCTTCTTTTTGATAAGAATGATTCAGACATAAGGATTCAGCTCAATGCAGAACTTTAATTAATCCCTCTGATGAACTACATGCCATATATTGCGCATTGGGAAGGCAAATAACCCAACCATCTAATCCATGGAAGTTATCATGTTCGATGCGAGAGAAATGATAATAGAAAACTGCAGAATAAAATAACGGGCATTTTTACACCCTGTAATACTTTCCCACTACAAAATAAAACAATCTGATGATGGTTTAAAAAGGATAGCAAATATAAGCTCTAATAGAACAAAACTGCAGAGCATCTTGGCAATGCTCTCATTTCCCTGATGCGTCCAGTGATCACAAAATAGCCTTAGTAACAAGGGCAAACCAAGAAGATGCTAGGTTTGGCCAATGATTCATCATTCCTTCCACATATCAGCAAACTCATCGACTTCTAGAGGATTTGACAACTGATGCATTTTTCTCCTAGTCTTGGCTTTGACTTTCTTAGCATATTTTCCGGCCTTCTGTTTTTTCTCTAACGATCGAATCTGGAAGCATTTTAAGGGCGGAGAAACATTTTTAGTATCCAGTTCTTCCTCAATGCCTTGTAGACAAATAAGGCAACTACGTTTTAGTGAGCAAACAATAAGGATGAATGTTACCTGATTTGGTGAAACGTAAAATGGATTCTCGTAGAGTGTGGGGCCACCAAAGCTACCACCAAATATCTTAATTGGGTTCAAGCAGAACCTTGGACCAACCTATCCACATAAAGACGTGAATTAAATATCAAATATCACAGACCTCACAATTCGAGCTGGTGAGAGTTTTATAGCAAACCTCAACAAGGGTCATCTTTTCCAGGTCCCCACGGTCTATTTTTTGTGTTCCAGTATGAGGACAGGATATCTGTTCCAAAATTGAAGATGTCATATGACATAAGTTAAGAATACATGGTATAAGGATAAAGAAGAACCCTTCTCATCGGGAAAAAAAAGAGGAACGAAACCTAGAAATGACACACTGCTTTGAAGTGAATGCTGGTGGACATCTTCCAGATCAGACAAAGAAATAGATTAAACTCCAAAGTCCTAGTTACTAAAAGATTTACTAATACTCAGGCTGCACTTACCTACCGGCTACAATTGTATTTGGAGGTGGAGGTGAAAGTAGTGACTCTACATTCCACAGTGCCTCCGAGGCAAGGTTGGTATGGTTCAGTAGCAGAAACCTTACCCTGAACAAAGAGTTTAAGACTAATCCATAGTGTGATCTCATGTATTATTTGTACTTCCTAGATTTGCCTAAGAAGTTTTCTACTATGTTTGTTCCCTTATATGTTAGTCTTTGGTTAATTAAGTTAGCTGGCTTGTAAATTTTTAAACTCTAGCTAGTAAGAAGCTATGATGGAGGTCTCAAGAAACACTTCCAACCCTAATAGATTTCCTACTGAGGATCCAAAAGAAACTAGTTGAATCATCTAGCCACTAGCACTGTCTTGGTGTTGGTGCAAGTTTAATTATAAATATTTACTAATTACTTACCCAGAAAACATACAAAGATGGTCAGTCTTTGAATAACAACAAACCTGGTAATTACGGAACCATATGTGATCATCAAGGATTGAAAACACAAAAACATGATCATAGAAAGGTTTAGATTTGCGGTGATCCTTTGGAGTTCCAAAAATCTGATGAAACAGAAGAACACAAAGAAATGTAAGAATCCGAAGAGTAACTGAAAAGATCACATCAAAGAAAAAGTAAGAGCTAAAGGGTGATTATCTAAAACATCATGAAATAATAGAACTCAACTCAAAGGAGATAATCTTGTATTTCAACCATATATTTCTCTACCTCAAGAGACATCACATTAAACAATTCAAAATTTAAAGAGAATGCTCTGACCACTGTT